GATGGACAGGTGCTGTGGGACAGCAGGCACCGAGGGACACTGACCTTCCGCAAACTTGTTCTCCAGCTCAGTGTTCCCGATGGCTTTCGCCGCCTGACACATCTGCCTCAGCAGCTCTTCCAGGCGCCGCATGCAGCGGATGATGCTGCCTGCACAGAAAGGGGACACACTTGTTGGGGGGAGGCAGCCATGGCCGGCCTGGGGAGGAGGCCACGCGGAGGGCGTGGGACGCAGGCCCAGGGCGAGAAGGTGCAGAGAAGAGCCCTCCCATCCTTGCTAAGGGGAGTCCTGGGCCTCCATCAAGTGTGAACACCTGCTCCTGCACAGGCACCTGAACCACAGCACAGCCCGGGGCAGGCGAGAGCAGCTCTGGGCAGAGGCCAGCAAAGGACAGGGCTGTGGGCAGCGGCCGAGCCCGAGGAGGGCGGCCTCCCGAGCACCTGGGCACCATCCCGTCGGGGAGGCACGGATTCTAAGCAGGGTCCGGTCTGCCATCTGAAAGGTGCAGTTATCATTCCTCTGGCGTCTTCCCTCGGGCTCTCCTCACCCAGAGGACCAGCCGCTCCCACAGGACTCGACCCTGGGACTCGACCTGAGACAAGTGCTTGCGTCAGAGCTGCGCTGGGCAGCCGTCGGCAGGGCGGCCTGGGCGCGCGCTCAGAGCCATGGCCTGGCGGCCTGGGCGCGCGCTCGATCCAGCTGAGCACTGAGGAGCCTCAGCTCTGAGGAGGCCGCTGTGACTCACGCTTGAACTGGGGCCCGTGAGCGTCTCCCGAGCTTCTGCACGGTGCTGCGGGCTCTTTCCCTTCCAGCGCCTGCACGTGGCCGCAGCACAGAGATGACTCACCCAGCAGAACGGCCTCGGAGCCGAGACCCAGGCAAACACAGAGCCACCTCCCTCACGGCAGCGCAAAGCAGCCAAGTGCCAGCACAGGCAGAGTCCTCCCCTGCAGGACACCCCGGGCCAGAGCAATGAGACAGGATGCAGTTCAGGAGACCGGTCACAAGACGACTACAGCACGAGGTCACCTGACAGACAATGGGCAGCACACCCCCTGGAATAGGAGGGTCACCTGCTTAGACCTGGTTTGGAGGAGTGAGCGGAGGCGCCAGGACCAAGAGGAAAAGGACAAGGCAGTGGTTTTGGGGGACGCGGGTTGTGACACGGTCACTGTGCCGTGGCTGCTGTGTCACCACTTACACCCTCAATGTGACCCCAAGTTCATCCCATTGCATTCCAGTCACACATCCTCTTTCCAGCTGACACCGTCCTGGTGGACGAGGTACCACAATCTACGCTTTCACCCCACGGACATGTGGGCGACGTGCTCGAAGGCAGCTGTTCTGGAACAAACCACCCTTCTCACCGAGGACGGAAAGGCACACGCCTCCCCAGCAGCATCTCGCCTCCAGCTTTCCGGCATCCCGAGTGCCGCGCAGGGCCCGCCCTGGCTCCTACCCACCGGATTCTAACTGTCTGCCCTGAGGTCAGCATCACGAATGTGCGTTCCTGCACGGTGACCGCGGGCGCGGGCGCGGGCGCGGGACGACCCTTTCTGCAGGAGGCTCTGCTGCCCACACTGGGGCTCAGTCATTCATCAAATGAGCGCGTGCCAGGCCTCATTCCTAAATCATTTAGTACCAACTGTGCCCAATTTAAACACAGAGATGCTACATATTAATAAAAGTCACTGTTATTTTTAGCAAAGTATTTCTAAAAACAAGTCCAGTGGAAAGTCCCTCATGACTCAGGGGCACCCCGGCCTCAGGGACACCACGCCAGATGAAAGGCATCTGAGAAGAGTGTGGTGGGCGGGAGTGGAACACATGGGGCGGGAGGGCAGCAGTTTCAAGTAGTGACCCGATGGCACTGCCAGTGCAGAGCGAGTCCTGCGTGCTCGGTGGGTGCAACAGTGGCTTCTACAGACAGAAATGGACAGTGACGGGCGCTGCCTCGGCTGAAATGGAGCCGCTCCATGGGTCAGCCGGCAAAACACAGGCTTTAGCCTCTACACTTCCTAAAGTGCTGTTCACATCGAGTTCGATGGAAATGAGAAACAACTACATCCTATCAATTTTTTCAGGGTGATAACAAGAAGAAATCATTATTTATATGAAGTCTTCAAAATTTCTCAAATGAACCCCAGTACACAGACATCCCTCACACACATGGTTAATCATTACGATGTTTAACTAATGCCTAAAAGATACTACTTCTTGAAATGATCAAAACCTTTTCTTTTCACATAAAAAGAAAATTAAGAATCTAATTAGAGCCCTAACCGGTTTGGCTCAGTGGATAGAGCGTCGGCCTGCGGACTGAAGGGTCCCAGGTTCGATTCCGGTCAAGGGCATGTACCTTGGTTGTGGGCACACCCCCAGTAGGGGGTGTGCAGGAGGCAGCTGATCGATGTTTCTCTCTATCCCTCTCCCTTCCTCTCTGTAAAAAAATCAATAAAATATATTAAAAAAAAAAGAATCTAATTAGAAACAAATAAATATGGTTTGAGCACAGCACATTAAAAAGTTCCAAGGCGCGCTGTGCTATGGCGAGTGCTCAGATTCCTGTGTTTTTCCAACTATATAAAGATGTGCAATCACAAGACGAGGAGTGAAGGGCTATTCTGCAATGGGAGAACGAACAGCAACCTGGTAAGGGGTGGGCAGTGTGTTCAAAAAAGGAAATACTATCCTAAGTTAATCAAGGTCTTCAGCTTTTTGTTCCTGTTTAATTAGCCATTTTGTTTTAAGAGTTAGTATATAGTCTACTCCAATTTTAGAAAACTATGAGTTGATAGGGTGGTACCCAGACCAGAAAAACAAGAACACTGTACTGACATTAGACCAAACTTCAAACTTAGATTCTCAAGCAAACGGTGATGGGGAATGGCTCCAGGAAGGGCAAGGGCGGGAGGCAGCGGGAGGCTGCGTGCTGTGGAAAGGCCGACTCACAGGGCTACTCTGTCCTCAGCCTCAGCAGGTCCAGGCGTGTCTTCCCGACTGTGAGAACTTTTCCATTTACATACAAGAACAGACACATTTTACAGCCCTGTGAACCCAGAATTTTTCTTAAACAAAGCCTCCTCTCCTTTATGAGCCACGATTGTTAAGTCACTGTGTCTGACTTCTTGGAGGAGCACATCCTATATAATAAAAGGCTAATATGCAAATCGACTGAACGGCAGAAGGACCCATCACTATGAGGCGCACTGACCATCGGGGCAGACACTCAACGCAGGAGCTGCCCCCTGGTGGTCAGGGCTCAGCCAGAAGCCGGGCTCAAGGCCGGTGAGAGCACAGCGGCGTGGCGGAGCCTCTCCCACCTCCG